CCGGCCTCAAATCCGTGGACTACGAAACGCGTCTCGCGATGCTTGATCTCTTTCCCTTGGAGTACCGTTGCCTCCGAGGGGACCTAATTCTTAACTACGCCCTGTTTGAACAAAGCTTGGCAAACAGATTTTGTACCGTTAACCCAGCGAACACCCAGCGGGGACATAGTAAGAAAATTTTCAAGCTCAGGGCACACACATTCATTAGACAGAATTTTTTTCATTTCGGGTAGTAGCTGCGTGGAATGACCTTCCTCCGACGGTTGTACACGCTCCCTCTCGAACCCAATTTAAAACACTATTAGACATTTATTTATGCGAATCCTCGCGCTGGCAAGCATACTTCCCTGCGCTGAGAAAACAAAGAGCATGGCTGCACCCTTTCTTCACTTGTGCTTTTTAGGTCAACGACAGCCACTGACCGACAAGAACAAAACCGACCCGGGAAACTGGGGCAAAAGCCTCGATCCTGTGTATCAATCCGTGAATCGCTGAATCGGTTTTCCGATCGTTCTCCTCCCAGCTTCTCTTTGCCTGCTTGATGTTGATCCGGTGGAGTAAAGTGGTCCCTCTATTTTAGGTTCGTTTTGACACATTGTATGAACGGACCTGTGCAAGTGAAGATCTTAAAAACACCATCAAGGTCAAATAAATTCAATGGAATTACCCATAACACAACACACACCGGGAATGGACCAATCGAGAACGAACCTAAAACACCCAAAAGAAGATATCCAACAGACCAGTGGAACATGATACATACACATCAGTCCATCAAGGCACGTCATAGCGCTCGAAATTTGCACTCCATTTGACGAATACTGAGCACCATTTGTATGTGGGGCTGGTTGGACTTGGGTTTGAACCAATCAGACGTCGGCCGCAGCTGTCTGGCCCTGCGCAACCGTTTGAATTAGTTATTGGCGTACGTCCGAATTTAGGTTTTGACGGATTATTTTGGGTGCTTACTTCGCCATGGATAGCTGACAAATCCGTTGAGCCTTTCATCCCCGTCTTCTCTGAGTTTACTAAGTTTTCGGCCTCTCCACAAAACCTTGGACCATATCACATCGCTTCCAATATTTCCATACGTTCTCTTTCTGAATAGCTTATATGCGCCAACTAACTCCACTTTTCTGAGCTAAACAGATCTTTCAAACACCCGTACAGGTGTAATCCTTCGTACACTTACTTGCCACATTTCTCTAGACCCTGATGACTGCTGCAGTTTTCTGGTTTGGCTAATCTTATGTGGCTTGTTTGGCTGCAGTCGCCTTTCTTTCGTGTTCGTGTGAACATCCGATTCTCCGGCGATCAGCGTGGCCAACTGGATGCACGAGGGATTTTCCGGTTCGCTGTGGTCACGTTTGTGACTTTGGCTATCGGGGCCCTGAATGACTACTGTGTGTTAACGCGCCATCCCATTCCTGACACTCCCTTAGCAAACACTTGAGCTTCTAGTCACCCTTCCCCCCCATCTACCTAAGAGAAGATCTTGGAGCGGGCTGGCAGCATTCAAAAGACCTACTCAATGATCAGGCGTCTATCTGAGGGTTGCCCTCTAGAGGCACGAAAGCTGGGTCACAGCAGTTCTAGGGTGGAGTCGCGAAACAGGCTTCCGCTTGGCGCCAGTTCAGCCGACCCCAAACTCATGGCCAGACAGATTGTAATCATAGCCCCCTGTGCTCCCGAAAGCATGCAGACGCATCCGGCCGCGTCTCCGGACAGCAGTTTCTATTCAACCAACACAGACCCCTCGTCTGCCAAAGGCAGTGATGCTTTGGAGGAGGCAAGCTTTGCGTGGAAGCAGCGCCCAAAGTACATATAGTCATCAGCGCTTCTTTCAGTAACAGATGACCAAGGTGCAGCAGTGGACTCTTCACCAAAGTCACAGCTTCTGAACTGGAATAAGTCAGATGTTCGGGGACAAGCAGCACAGCCCACCGACAAATCAACCACATGCGTTGACCTGGACATTGGGGAATGCTGCGACAACCGTACTGCCCATCTCCAGCTCCACTTCGTCAAAAATGGCCTCCTTGCTTGTGGACACAGTAGTCATTCAGAACCCCGACAGCCAAAGTCACAAACGTGACCACAGCGAACCGGAAAATCCCTCGTGCATCCAGTTGGCCACGCTGATCGCCGGAGAATCGGATGTTCACACGAACACGAAAGAAAGGCGACTGCAGCCAAACAAGCCACATAAGATTACCAGAAAACTGCGGGCTGGCTTCAAGGTGCCGTCCTCTGCTAAAACGAGCCTCTTGGAAGCGCCACCAAAAGACTTCTTGGTGCCTCTGCCCAGCACTCAGGGCCTCACAGAGATACCTTTCAGTTCAAACCGCGCCAAAACCTCTAAGAAACCAGAGAGACGTTCAGCGACTGCCGTTCACCTGAAATCCGCAAGCGAAAGTGGTGTAGCACGGCTCTTTAATTCCTTAGCGCGAAGTAGTAACTGGCCTGCTCGAGGACTAGCATAAAAAAGCGTTCAACGGTGCTTTGAACTGGGTACTAGATTTAGTGTGTACATCCGCTGCAGGAAAGTTATTCCGTGCATGAATTGTCCGAAATAGGGAGGTTTTTACCAAGTAAATGTGTGCGCTCTATGCTCGAAATTCTTACCGTGTTCCCGCAGTGTGTATGCTAGGTAAACGGTGAAGACCCTGCTGGCTAAACCTTGTTCAAAAAGGGCAAAAGTAAGTACTATGTCTCCTCAGAGACGATGATGCTTCAGGGGAAAGAGGTCAAGCAGTGCGAGACGCGTTTCATTGTCCACGGATTTAAGGCTGGCAATCATTTTCGTGGCAGCTCGTGGACACGCTCAATAAGGGTTACGCCCTTCTTGCGTCCTGAGTAGACAGATGGGCATATTAAAAAAGCAACCTGACCTAGGCCTCATAAAGTGTCCGGAAGTTCGTGCGAGTAACACGGTAGAAGGTGAGACGAATCATACGTAGAACGGCGAATGCCTTTTGAATCGATTCTTTATGTTGTGGTGAGAAGGATATGGGAGAGAGCTGGATAGCCAAATCCTTCTTTAGCATCTGTTCTCATGATTTCTTCTGGCTCATTCTCCCCGTGCACGACAAAGGCGTTCGCTGAGTACCCTCTGGATGGTATTTGGACGCACTTTTCGCCATTCAGAGGAGGGTGCCAGTCCAATGACCACTGCTTTGCAACGTCTACATCCATTTGGAGGGCACTGGCATTTGAGCTCCAGGATTTCAAGTCGTCCACAAAAAGTAGGCATACTTGAAAGAACATCTGGAAGGTCGCTGATGTAGATCAGTAGGAGCAGTGATCCCAAAACGGAGCCTTGAGGAACTCCGATGGAGGTCGGCGCCGAAGAAGAGTACGTCGAAACTAATTTCACTGGGAATATTCTCTCTGGTAAGAATGTCTTAATCAAGCGTAGAATTTTATCTTGAATCCCATAAGACTTGAGTTTGTGAAGCAGCGGGATGTGTGAGGCTCGATCGAATGCCCTTAAGAAGTTGAGAAATTTGGCATCTGTAATTAGCCCGTCGTCCTTAGCTTGGGTCAAGCTGTTTATAAGTACAAGCATGTCCGTTACTCAAAAACTGTTTGAGAGGAATCCGCGTTGAACTAGGAATATCAAGCTGTTGGTGGTGAGGTGATTTAAGATGTCCCGCTTCAGAATGGGTTTCACTATCTCGCACGGTACGCTGGTGAGGCCCGTAGCTGCCTGACAATAGTCGGTCACCAGTTTTGTAGCTTGACAATCGCTTCCTTCCACGCAGAGGGAAGGTTACCTTCGTCAAGCGACTGCCGAAACAACAGGTAAAAATGCTTTGCCAGTGTAGACGACGTTTCCTTCAGGATCCTTGGATGAACCTCGTCTAGCCCCAACCCGCAGAACGGCTTTGTCCTCCTCCGTGAAGAGCGATTTGGTTAGGGACCGTTCGTATTTACGCCTTGGCAAGATTGGGTGTGACGAGGTCGCTGGGGCATAATACAGGCCTGCACATTCTCTGGAGACTTCAGATACCACTGTTGGGTCTTTGGTGGGCTCCCCATTCCGACCCCTCAAGGAGCACGTGGTTGGCTCATTTTGCGACGATGTCTCATGTATTTAAACAGCACATTTTTGTTTTTCCGGGCAAGGTCCATTATGGTTTTTCGTTTGTTCCATTGGTGAATTTCTGACAGAGGTTTCGTGTTTTACGAAACGCCAGCTCATGTTCTGTGTCTTCTGTAACCAACTTTTTTGAAAAAATAGTTTGGACCTCTTTTTCAGAAGATGTCAAATGCTTTTAGGTAACTTACCGTCCATCCGATTGCGTGTTGTGTTTTTGGGACGAACGTCGTGTCGACTTCGTGAACCTTTTGGACAAGGGTCCTGTGTAACTCCTTTACTGAAGCTGGTTTCAGCTTAACTTGCTCAAGAAAAAGGCGCACTCCTAAGAAGTCTGTATGGCAGAAGTTTCGAATTCACGTTTGAGCTTCGGGATTTCTGACCCGATAGCGGATGAGATAAAAAGTCAGCACACAGTGGTCACGATTTCCCAATGGAGCGCTAATTACCACCTGATCAACGAAGTGTCCTTCGTTGATGATGGCCAAATCCAGGAGTGATGGTAGTTGGCCTGTGCGATATCTGGTGGGTGCGACATGTTGACTCGTGGAATATATGGCGTGGGAGTTGCACTCAGCCCCAAAGCTGAACGCGCTTTGCTGGATTGGATTACAATGAACAGTTGTCTTTGCGCCGTCTGGTTATCTAGTTCAATCAAGCCCAATGCCTCGGCATAAAAAGCGGTGCCTGTTTGTCGTGTCGGCTTATGCCCCGACGGACTGCAGTTCTGATGCGGAGAAGGATACTTTCTATCGAGAGTTATCTGGGCTCATTCGTCAAGCAAAATGCACTGACACTGTGATCCTTTCAGGCGATCTGAATGCTCCAGTAAGTCGTCTGAGCTCTTTGGAATCGCATTTGGGTGGTCGATTCGGAGTCGATGCTCGTCGCACAGACAACGGAGGTCGACTCCTTCAGTTGTGTGCTGATCACGAACTGTTTCTGGCAAGTACGAACTTTCAACATAAACGTTCGCATCGCGTAACCTGGCGGCCACCAACCGCAAATCGACCGTGGACCCAGCTGGGCCACGTGGCCATCAGCCACCGGTGGAGAGCCACAATTCAAGACTGTCGTTCCTTCTGGGGCACACCACTTGATTCCGATCACGCCATGGTGCGCGCACGCCTGACAGTTCGTTTCCCTCCAGGCCCCCCGCAAGTCGGTAAGAAGCATTCCAATCCACCAGCTTCGAAGAACTGCCATAGCTCAACAGTGTCGATCTGAGCTAGCCCAGCAACTCTCCACAGTAAACCAATACTGTGGTGACAGTGAACATGTGGATGAAGCGTGGCAAAATGTGAAAGGGACCACGTTAGCGGCGTTCGGTGCTACCTGCCCAACTTCTCCAATTGGAACACAAGACCACTGCATGTCATCGAGGTCGTTATCCATGATTGATGCCAGGAAAGCCATACCAGCAGGCAACGAGTTCGACGGCGCAAGCAAATCCCTAAAACGTCAGATAATGAAGAATCTTAGGAAAGACCAAGAGCTATGGTGGACATCGAAAGCCCGGGAGATGGAGAAGGCCTTTGCTACGGGAAACAGCCGTGCCCTTTATCAACTGATACGATCGACTGACTCTAGGAAAGCAACGGTCAGCGAAACGATAAGTGAAGAAGATGGCTCATTAATTCACTCGCAAAAACGTCGACTGGAGAGATGGGCCGAACACTTCGAAGAGCAGTTCAGCTGGC